CTCAAACTTTCCCATTCCCCAAATTACAACTCGAAAGAAAAATAAACTCTAGTATAAGAACATTAAGAACACTCTGTATTACTTATGTGGAATTGACACTTGACTCGAATTAAAAACTAGAAAACTTATGTGAGCAAGGGTGAGTTTTTTCATCTGAAATCAACAGCTATTTATAGACCAAAATTCGTTTAGGAAAAACTTTTTTGTGCAGCAAATCCATTACGCCACTACTCCAACCCACTAAGAAGATCATGTTCCTAAAATTAAGGAAACATGAACTCCTCAATGTGCAAGACCATGACTTGAAGAAAATCATGGGGAGTAGGCCGCAAGTTTTTAGAGATCATGGAAGATTTTATTTGCAAAAGATATTTTCGAAAATTAGAAATAAAATAAAATCTTTTTAGTTAAGAAAAAGATATTCGTTTAAAACTTAACAGTTTTCCTAAAAACTAGCATGCACAATTTTATCTTTTTAGACCAATTCCACACAGCTTTTTCGAGTGTAACTAATTTCTTATACTTACCTAAATCCTAAAATATAAAAATATATTTAGTCTTCATGTTTCTCTGATGAAGCTTCTACTCCGAGGCTTCTGTTCCTTGGAAGGAACTTCTCTTCTCTGGTGAGGCTTCTTCTCTTAAGCTTTTGTTCCATGAGGGGAACCTTCTCTTCTCAAGTCTTCATTTCTGAAGCACGAGTTTTTGTAAAGGAGCTCTTCTTTATGGATAGCTCTGTTTCTTGCTTTCCTGTTCCTCATGGTAGCTTTGCATGACATTTAATTCTCCTAGTCATTGCATCTGACCACACACTTAAACAATCAAGCTCTTATTAGTATGTAAGCAAGTGAGGTTGTGTCATCATCAAAATAATTAAGTCCAACAAATCTCATTAATGTCACCATTTAATTAGTAACACAAATAGATGATTTCCAAATAGAATTTGATTTTTTGATTTTATCATTGAGAAAAATAAAAAGCTTAAGAGTACCATTGAATTTTTTTTTTTTTTAAAAAAAAAAAAAGAAATAGTAATAGTAATAAAAAAAAAAATAAACAATTGAAAATCACTATTCTTTTGGTTTCGGTCACTAATCTCTCTTTTATTGTAGACATAATTCATAAATTGCTCCTCAACAATTAAGTAAATCATTTATATAATTATAGAGTGATTATTTAACCACAACCTTTCAAAAGCCAAATTCTCAAATCTCATGCATTTGAGTTTTTTTTTTTTTTTTTATTTTTTATTTTTTATTTTTTTTTTTTAAATGTGTTGTTGTTATAACATCCAATTAAATAACTTCCAGTTCATTTTTTTTTCTAATAACTTCCCCATCTTATACACCGTGCATTAACATGGATACAATCTAGTTAGGATTAATAGTGGAATATGATGGGTATAACTATGAAAGAGGAATTGAGGCAGTGTTGATTGTGAAAAGCATACAAGGTGGTATAAAAAGAGAAGAAACAAATATGAAGTAAGAGAAAATATATGAATTATAATTGCTTTCATATTTTATGGATGTATATATATACAGGGGAGGGATCTGGTGAGAACACCTATATATGTGAGAACACTATACTTATGTGAGAACACTTCAAAATTTAGAACATTAGAAGAACTTTTTAGAACATACGCAACATCTTTTAGACATCCTCGTTTCTAATAATGCATGAACCCTAGGCATGATGTAAGAAAAGGGTACCTTACATGACCAAAAAAAATTTTATTTGCAATAAATGTAAATAAAAGACAAACAAAAATAATGTTTTTATTTAAAGAAGTAGTCTTAATCCACAATAAAAACTTTGCGAAATATCAAAAATAAATTTGCTCCTAATAAATCCTAACAAGTCGCTGAAGCCATGAAATTCATTGGAAGCAACCGATAATAAGAAGATCAGAGTAGAATATTTGGTGATAGATAAACTATTTTTGCTGCTAATTATCTTGTTCAATATCATAACGGTTGCCATAATATTAATTAGCCAAAATTAAAGGGGATGAATTTCGGTAATTGAAGGATATGTGAAGTGGAGTAATTGGAAAATTTTGTATTTTGGGAGCTATTATTCATGGAAATTGAAGAATAAGGAGATGAAAAGGTGAAAAAACATTGAAAACTCCACCTAATTGATTGATTTGACAGCTAAGTAATTAATGTCAATTGCTAAATAAGTAGAGTAATTAATACTCCCTCCGTTTCATAATGTTAGTCCCATATACTATTTTGGGCATTTTAAAAAGTTCTACCCATATTGAATATATTACATTTATGACTTGATTTTTTTTTTTACTTTAATTGATTGTGGATTGATAACATGACTCTAAGTAGGGAAATTTTTACCTTAAATTATGCAATTATGACTTGTGCTTTCCTAATGAAAAATAAAAAAAGTTAAATAAGGTAAACTAATTATGAAATCTGTTATATTTTAATGTTAGATTCCAAATATATTTGTTTTCTTATTTTATGTGATTGATTCCATATGAGACTAATATTATGAAACGGAGGGAGTAACTATCTTTAGCTTAGTTTTGTATGGTTTTGCTAGGCAAATTACACGCAAAGACTTTTCAAACAAAGCCCATATAAGCTAAAGTATTTACAAATTGTTTTATTTTTTTTTAATTTTGGGCCCCCTTTTGGCGTGGGTCGTAGGTGATCGCACCCACGGCCTACCCTCAGGTCGGGCCTGCTTTTAGAACATCATACTTAATGTAGCATAGCTTTTAAAACAATATGCAACTTTAGAACCTAGAGTCAATGATTCTTAATATATGTAATATTTGTTAGACAAATGAATTTAGATTTTCAAAATATACTTTTATTTAGAGCATGATATTCAAATTTTAAGACATTGAACTCAAAAAAAACAAATTTGAACATATGCAATATTTTTTAGAACATATGTAGCATATTTTAGAACATATGTAACATTTTTTTAGAACATACTTAAATTTTTTAGACCATAAGATGTGATTATAGAACACGAATAGAAATTCGATTTTTACAACAAATTGATTCGAAATCAGTTTATTCTTGATTTCCAATGTAATATAAAACAAGTTAATTGTTGTTTTGTTTCTTAAATTCAAAAAAGATTCCTTGAAATAAATTTCAAACTATGTATAGTTGCCCAACTTGATTTATTTGGATGAAAAAAAAAATTGATTTCACATATTAAACTATCAATTAAGCTTGGTTTACCTAAGATTAAGCTGCAAAACTTGAATTCTTGATTACAATTGTGCAAAAGTTGATACAATACACACAAAATTCTTGATCATGCGGTGGTGGTGGTTGTGGTGGGAGAGGAGTGAGAGTGGTGGCCATGATGGCAGCGAGAAGAGAAAGAGTGCTGGTGGTAGAGGTGGCGGCAAAAAGGCTATAAAACATGTGATGGTGGTAATGGAGGAGAGACTGGATAGTGGTGGTGAGGAGAGGAGAGGAGAGAGAATGTTGAGGTTGAAGATAGTAGATTGAGTTTAATTTTGAAACATCAACTTTAACATTTTTTTTTATCACAAACGTGGGGATAGGAGAGAGAGTGGTGGCGCGGCGGCAATGGTGAAGCCGTGAGACATGAGACAGTGGCAGTGGTGGGTGTTGGGGAGAGGAGAGAGAATGTTAGGTTGAAGATGATGAGTTTAGTTTATTTTCAGAACATCTACCTTAACATATTAGAATATAGGTGTGTTTCACATACAAAGTGTACTCACATAAGAGATGTGTTCTCTCTCTCTCTCTTTCTCTCTCTCTCTCTCTCTCTCTCTCTCTCTCACACACACACACACACACATAAAACTATATAAAACTTAGGGGTTGCCACACTTTTTTTTTTCCGATTGTAAGCCCTAAATTCTTCTTTAATCTAATGTTTCTAGACAATAAAGTACCAACAGTATGGAGATTATAGTCAATAATTCCTCCATGTAAGGTTTAGTCAGTTCCCTCACGGTGGGATTTTTAGTAGTATTTGTTTGTTTTTCGTGAGTGCAGGGATACAAATTTAGAAGATTCGTAAATTTGTGGAATTGCGGGTATATTGATATAGAGGTGCAAATTTAGATTTAGAAAATTCGTCTAGTAAATTTGCCGATCTTGATGACCAATCAAGTTTTATCACCTTTATGACTTTACATTAATGGAGTTCCGTCAAGAACGATGCGAAGACATCTAAAATTATTCATAAGTGATGTCATTAGTTTAGGGGTGTTTAATACTTGGACTGTGAATTTAGATCTCTTAAGGAATGATTGTCAATGCCGAATGACTATTATTATTTAATGAAATCACCCCTCCCTATCCAAAAAAAAATTTACTCCGTATTTTCTTATCTTTTTAAGTTCAATAATCTAACTTTTTATTAACAACAAATGGTTAATTTTGAACGAAAAGATCGGATGTTAATGAGGAATCAAAAAGTGTGATGTCCTAAAAGATGAAAATTTTGAAATGTTAGATCCTACTTTTACGCTTAACTCTACTAAAAGTGTATGGATTAGTTAACTTAGTTGTCGTTTTGAGTAGCTTTATATGGCAGCTTAAGTGGCATTATGAAAGGAGAGTAATAGAGTATATGGGGTTTATGCTCCTATCATTAACACTACTTGAGGTTCTTTGCAGCAATTCATGCAAAATATTGGAGTTTGCCGACAAAATTTAAGGGTTGTTAGAATTAACAGAGAGAAAAAGTATATTGGAGAGAAAAAGAAAGAGAGGGTTTAAATTCTGAGTACGTGACCCTCACATGAAGGGGTCAACTCCGGAAAACAGGGCCAATGACTCAATGCCTAGAAACCAGGGTAAATGGATATCTCGCAAAAAAAAATCTGGTTTTACATGTCATTTATTTTTTTAAAAAAGTTTTAAAAGGCAACTTCGGACAAATTTTCCAAGTTATATAAATGACCAAAGTTTTGCATTAGCAAAAGCAAAGCTCCAAATAGCGCAATTATGTACTACTAGCATGTCAGGAAAAAAAAAAAGTTCATGGAGAGCGATTCCTTTTATATCCCTACTTTTTTCTTACTATGGCCAGAAGAGGTTTAAAATGTACAAACAGCCAAGTGCATTCATCATGAATCAACCAAATAGCTGAATCAAGTATCAGAAAATGACCAAGAAACAAATGATATACATAGCAGAGCTCTAACAATGAGTCGTAACAGATGGAAAAAAAAAAATTAATTCTCTCAATCCTAATAAGGGTAGATATAGTCCAATACTAGTAGTTATTGGCTACTCTCCCCTCCCTCTTTTCCAAAACCCTCGCCTTTTGACTAAGAAATGATACGAAGATGGAGTTTTTAACTTCATGTTTCAGCACAAGTGGTTGCTGCAACCAGCATTTTAAATGCTGAAGCTCAATTTTATGAATGTGAAGCTGCTGTTCCCAGTCCTCCATTTAGCATCTTGGTAATCCACCCTCTCTTCCCTGTCAAATTAAGAGGTATATTGGTGTTTAGCAGTTGTGTGCCGCAATAGTCTTTATCTTCTAGTATTTTCTTGTACTGTGTAACTACTGGTAGAGACAGAAGCGGCAGCAGGCAAGAAAAGCATCAGAAACTTCTTTCATAATATGGGAAGTTTGAATTGATGCCATCATCGTCTTTGAACATTTGATTGCTTAAATACTCGGTACTCCCTTGTTCTCCATGAACTTCAATTCCAACCTGTTGGACTAAGGCATCACTTGGATTTTTGCACAACCCAAGTTTGACCAGGAATGTTGCTACAGTTCCCTTGTCTTGGCCTTCGCTTTCAATCCAAATTTGACCACCCATGAGATTTACAAACCTGTTTCATCCATAGTTAGACCAGGGAGAAAAAATAACATATAGACGTACAACATTGCAGTGAACCAAAAGGTATCCAAAATTTAAGACTCAAGGTATGCAGAACCTAGATTGGACAAAAAGGCTAAAGGGCTTACCGTTTGCAAATAGCAAGTCCAAGTCCAACACCAGTACTATTTCGGTTGAACTGAGTAAATTTATTGAATAGCAGAGGAAGATCCTGTGGGTTAATACCACATCCTGAATCTTTAACCTGTAAAAGTGTCAGATTTAGTACCAATCAGTGACAGCTGAGTAGTAACAAGATCCAAAGATGCCTTTTCCACTTTCCATAAATAGAGAAGTACATTTAGAGACTACTATTTAATTAAAAAAACAAATTTCAACAGATGATATTGATCACTATTCACTACAAAAATCAAATTTAATCTGTAACAATAGATTTGACATTTGATACACTTAAATCAGATACTCAGCCATCAATTGAAAATCAATCATAATCAGTATAAATCAGATCTATTAATATAAATCAGCAAAAGCAGTAATAATTAACTCAGTTCAGTTTTTTCAGGTAAAAAGAAAGAAGGCCTTAGTTGCAGGTGCAACTGCATCAAGTATATCTTTAATATATGAAGCATTATTATATACTATGGTAGTAAAACAAACGAAAAAAAACAAGTTAAATTTTTTTTACAAAAATAAAAGGGGAGGGCAGGGGGTGGCGGGAGGAGCATGTTGTAGCAAAGTAAAGTCAAAAATGATTTACAAGTGTGTAACCAACCTGCACTCTCAAGTAGAAGTGACCTTCACCCGAGACAGGGTAAAATTCAGAAGCTCGCCAATCTCTCAAAGATTCTGCTCTAGCAACAGATGCAGTCACTGAAATATAACCTTCTTTTGTAAATTTTACAGCATTTCCAACAACATTTAAAATTGTTTGCATCAGCCGCTTTTCATCACCAAAGGCACAGATAGGCACCTCCGGAGCTAAGCCAAATGTCAAGGACAGCTTCTTTATGGATGCAATAGGCTTTATCAAATGAATAACCTACAGCACCAGAAGAAAAAAAAAATACTGTTGGATTAAAAGAGCATCATAAGCTAGATATCAAAATTCCTTAAGATGAATGAAGTAGAATCCAAACAAAAGCTATCAGAAGTTACAGAATTACCTCTCTGAAAACCCCATGAAGATTGAAGGTGGTAGTGTCTAGCTCTAAGCTACCATCTTCTAATTTGGAAAGATCAAGCACATCACTGATCAATGTCGACAACAGGTTGCTACTCTTGAGTATAATTTCTAACATTACTCTTTGTTCGGGTGTTAGTTCAGTCCCCAAAAGAATAGATGATAAGGCAATAATTGCATGCATTGGTATTCTCATCTCATGATTCATCACTGCCAGAAAATCATTACGAGCACGAATTGCCATCTCCGCCTCTCGACGAGCCAAATCCAAAGCAACATTCTGTTCCATAAGCTGATCACGAGCTCTCATAGATTCCTCTAGAATTGCAGCATGAGAAAGAGCAACAGCTACCTGTAGAAGCAGATGCAAAAGAAAATTGAAGTCTGCTTTATGATTTCCTATTACACGATCAATGAAGAAGATTTAGAGTCAAAAACACCCAAGATATACAATGTCTTTGTAATCTAATAGCAACACAGGATTACAGGAACACAGGAGGCTGAGTAATTATCTATTCAGAGATCTGTCCTACGACTCTCTAAAAACAAAAGAGATAAAGAATCACAAAATGAATGGAGAATGTGAAGGGAAGGTAGGGGTAATGCAGAAGTAGGTTCAGCAAAAATGTACTCGTAATGATCTATTATATTTCATAGGAGATCTTGGTCCTTTATTTATAGTTCTTGCATTGACCAGTCTTGAATTAGGTGTAGCTATATTACAAGCTCATGTTTTTACGATCTTAATCTGTATTTACTTGAATGATGCTATAAATCTCCATCAAAATTCTTTTTTATTTATAATTGAAAAAAAAGCGAGGTGAGGTATTTATGGTATATAGCTTCATTTCCCCGTGGATCTATTATAAAATACCCTATTATAGTAATCAAAAGGAATACACTGTAAAAAATATTCAAATCAAATGCAAACCCTTCAAAAGTAGTCACCAGAGGGCGGTGATAATGAGCTGCAAAGTTGTCATGTTGATCTCCTAGGTTACACAGGAGCCTGTTGACAGGCATTCAATTCAGAGTTCAATGAGCCACAGTAATCTAGGAAAAAACATCAGGTTACAGTTGACAATATGTGATAACGTCATTACAGCTTAATCAGACTGAATGCATTACCACACTAAAGGATGGCCATGACCAGAAAGACCAAAGTAAAAGGCTTCTCACTTCTGCTCCACTTCTTAGCTTTTTTATTCTAATTACCATGATGTGAGTAAAGAATAAGAAATATATAGCAACATGGCAACTGGAATTAGCTTAGTTTCTAAAAGGCAGGGAGGCAGGGTACGCAAGAGAGACACTTGAAGATGAGTATTATGCTGTCTAGTCTACAGCAAAAAAAACAACAACAACAAAGTCTCAGTCCCATAATGAAACAAATTCGGCTAATATTTGAGCCATTCGTGAAAGGTGTAAAACAAAAAGTAAAAAAGGATAAAGAAAGAAAGCAAGGATAAGTGAAAAGGTGAAAGTGGAAGAAAATGAAACATAGTGAACATGTAAAGTGAAAACCCAATTATTGAGGATGTACAATTAAAATTTGAGAAATCTTACAAGAGAGGCCTAAGAGAAGATAGGAAGAGAGGGACATGTGAGAAAAAACAGAGAAACAGTAGAGAAAACCTCAAGAGTACATTTTTGGAGTCATGTTATGTCTTTCAAGTAGATTTTCTACTTCCACTCCACTCCATTAAACACCATACTCTCCTCGATCCCCAATAGGCTCATATCGCTCTCAATCACCAAGTTTTCTTAGGTCTCCCCCTACCTTGACAAGTTCATCACTTAGTCACTCTTCAAGCCTCCTAACTATTGCATCAATCAATCTCCATCTTACATGGCTAAACCATATTAGGTAAACCAAAAAGTGTAACCCTTACTTTCTTCCTAATTATCTCATTCCTCAACTAATTCTTCCTTGAAAGGCTACACATCCAATGTAACATAAGCATCTCCACCACATTCGTCTAATGAACTTGACAACCCATCATTATATATATATATAATAGTACATGCCATTCAGTAGAATCTTCCCTTCAATTCATTAGGCATGCCAGGATCACATGCACCATAGTATATCGTCTTAAATTGAACTTGTCCATTCATCCATGACTGTGGCAAAAAGAAAAAGGCTAAGAGCAGAACCTTGTGTTGCCTAGACTAAAAATGTATACTTCTGAACCATCCATTTTATCTACTTTACTATTTGCTTGTTCTATTCTTTCTTTGTGATTCTAGTAAAAGCTAAGATTGGCAACATAGCATTTAACCTTAGCAAACTTTTTCCTACCCTGGGTGACTAAAACACAGACATAATGCCATGTTGAGAGAGAGATAGAGAGAAATGAATAATGTGATATCTGAATATACTCAATGTCACAGAGGTAAACAACACTTGTATCGATATACTAGGTTAACATTGATAGGGGAACCTCATAGTTCACATATAAAATATAATTTTCAGCAAGTGCAGTTGTTAATATGCAGCAATAGTATGAAAAGCAAAGATTCGCAACCTGATCAGCAACAACTTCCACTAGCTCCAGCTCATGGTCCCGAAATTTCCTTACACCATCAGATGGGGTTACCAGAACCATCACTGCATAGGTTTTTGCCGAGACATCTGGCCAGTCATTAATTTGAAAATTAGAATGATGTAGAAGGGGAACCCGAACAGCAACAACATCAGGGGGTATATATCTTCCTGCAGCTGGTCTAGTCCTCACTAGTGGACATGTATGCGGTATTCTTACTGCTCCACTATTGTTGAATATTTCAGCAATGAAAGGAAGGTTCATTGAAACAGTAGATCCAACTACCATTGAGTGGTTCAAAGTGTGAGAAAGTCTCATTGTCATGCCAGTTTGTGATGGCATCCATAATGTACACTCCTCTAGATCAAGTGTTCGACCCAATTCAACAAGAGTAGTTTTCAGTATTGTGTGTCTGTCAAGTGTGCTTCTGATCTCATGAGTTAGCATTCTAACATGCCTTCCAGTTTCTTCTTGGGTAAGGATAAGACCCATCTCCCTGTCAAGCTCCTCAGCCCTATTTCTCAAAAACATTTCCCTTGTTTTCACACTTAACAAGTCAGGAATAATGTGGACAAGCATCAATGCTGTTACACATGATACAGCAGCCGTAGACATTTTTGCTATGGTCATCACTATAGCAACTGTTTTCGAGTGCATGGAGAATGTCCACAAGTTTATAAGATGTGTTGCCCCGCATAAAACAATGAATGCTCCAAATTGCATTAGCACCCATCTATATGGGAAGAATGCTGACTTCTGCACAAAATAAATGAGCTCCAAAGGAATGGAGAAATAAGCTAGGGCAATAAAAATATCCGACAGATATTGGTATTTTACTAGGAGCTCATCTTGCCACAGTGGATATATGCAATCACATGACTCCATCCTCTAATAAATTTTTCCACCGCCCAAATTAACCTGAGACAAGCAGGAGAAGCTTATAAATACTTTCACCTTGTGCTTGGGTATACTGATGCTTCTAGTTTAGAGCATCAACAGAGGGGATAGAAAAACACTGTTAACCATGACTAATGAGGTTTAACATCAACACATTATAAATAAATTTAAAAAAAAATAATTCATTATTCAATTTTCAACCACATTCAGTGCATACCATGTCTATATTTCTAGGTACATAATTACAAAACCAATAAACAAAGAGGAACTAACGAAAGTGACAATAGGAACCAACAAATCACATACTTTATCCGTTCGACTTAAGAATAACTTTTAACCCCAGGACTTAAATAAGGTCAGTTCTAGATGCCCAATAGATCACACAGGGAGCACACTGACAGGCACAAACCCTATAGGATAAAAATTATTGTAGATTTTCGACGAAAAAAAAAAAACACCTAAGGGATTGATTCATTCATTTGGTTTTCTGACATCCCATTGTATGATGCCCCAAGCCCCAACTATACCAGAAAAGCACCTTCAGAGTTCAAGCAAGTCCATCGCTTTCGAAACGTTTAAGCAACATAAGCACAGAATTTCCCAAAACTTACAAAATCAGATGTCAAATATTTCACTCCGACCCTATCAAAGAAATTCACTAGGACAACACACACACTGTCGCTTAAAGGATCCAATCTTGATATCGGAACGATACAGTTGCTCACGTTCAGCTACACAAATGGCATACCCCCCACCTCAAACAACAATCTCATCATAAGAACACCAAGTAAGGCTGAAAAATGAAGAATTTGTTCATCAAATTATTATTACTACATTCAAGTTGTTCATAAGAATCATAACAATCTCATTAACAATTCAATCTTGGATCCATAACATCACATAAACAAATCCAACATGAATCCCAAGTTAATTTCCCATCAATCCATTCAATTACTATTCACAAACAACTATTAACATCACATCACTAATCCCAATAAATAACAAATGTAGAAAAATAAAATTGATAAAAAAAACTGAAACAAAATTAAATTCAGAACAAAACCCATTTTCACTAACCAGGCATTAGAGCTCCAAACCCTCACATCTGATCCAATCAACAGCATTCAGCAAAAAAATCACCTACCCACAAAAAAACAAAAAGAATTAAACAAAACAAAAACCCATTTTCCCTAGATTTTTTCAATACTACCAAATTAAATAATAGCAGTAAAGACTATACCTTTGAAATCCCAGATTATTTTTCTCCAAATAAAAAATAAAAAAATTGTGGTGAAAAAAAAAAGACTAGTTTCAAAGGATTTCTACTGTATGTAATAAAAGTAGGAGAGAGAAAGTAAAAGATTTATAAGGAGTAAGAAAGAAAAATAGAGATTTGAATGGTGTGCGGAAAAAAACAATTTAAAGTAGGAGAGTGTTGACAAAAAGGAGTAGTAAAACCGTGGGCAAATAAAATAAAGTTTTTTTTTTTTAAGAAAAAAGAAAAATATATTTTCACGGGCCAATGGCGGCCCATGCTGTATCTTTCATTGGTTCTTACCACGTGATTTGCCTTACCTCATAGGGTATTTGTGTTTTTTATTTATTTATTTATTTAAAAAAAATAAAATTGTAGTTAGTCATACGGTGTGGTTAGGGTTATTGGGACGGTTAGAATTTACTTGGTCGAAGAAGAAATACTCGATTAGTCAGGGGTTATTCGGTGGACCAAAGAATACTCGATCAGTATTTTGGTGTGAGTTAACTTGCTATAGGATGTGGCCGTCCACACCAAAAAAGCACCGTTTATATATATATATGGTTTTGATTTTCTTGCTTTTGGTAGAGATATTTTTGTTGGATCCAAGTGATACTTGGAATGATGTAGAAAGATAAGTTTCACCTTTGAAATTTATAACCGGAGTGAACCCATACTAATGCAGGTTATTTGGAAAAAGGTATAAGTGAAAATTTTGGGTTTCTTATTGTTAATTTGGAGAGATGAAAATTATTTGAAGGTTATTTGAAAATTATTGATGATTTAGAAGTTTGTGATTCAGAGTTTAAAAATTAACTATTAAATAATATATAGATTAGATGGTGGAACCTTTTTTTACTTTTAAATAGTTTTTATTTGTTGATAATGAGTGTAAACTCAGACCCTTGTTTAACATGATATTCGATTTAAGCGCATTACATGAGCTCTAATAGGTCTGTCATGTGAAGGGAGGGGTTGACAACTTGAAATGTATAAAACACATGTGAGTATCCCATGATTGAACGACAAGTTTGAGGTACATGTTGGTGAGAAATGATAATTGAAATGAGTTTAAATGCATCTGTGTCATATTTTGATGAATATGGAATCATAGTTCAAACCTCTTGTATTAGCACCCCTTGACGAAATGGTAGAATGGATCACAAACATCAACATTTTCTATCTTGTATAACGTTCAACGATGTGATGTTCCAAGGTGAGCACTTGGTAACTTTATTGGGAAAAAAATGTGAGCTTAAAGTGTCTTATAATTGTACTCCCTCTAGATTATTAAAGTTAAAAAAAAAACTTCATATGAAATTCTTTTGGCATGAACCACCATTCTAAATGATTTGATGAAACAAGAATTTTAATTTGGTTCACTTTGTTGTACATGCTTATGATGAATAAAAACAAATAACTAAATAATGAGGGGACAATTTTAAAATTGCATTTTGTTGAAAATGTATTTTGTGGGTGACAGGCTAAAGTCGCATCACCCAATCAAAAGTAATTCTTAAATCCTCTAAATAATGCAGATAGGGAAGTATGGTCGAATCCACAGGGAAACAAGTCTTTCTATTCCTAATTAATCTAAGCGATAGGGTAGAGAAAATCAAGAAATAAAGGCCTAGGGCATAGTTTCACCAATAAATAACATTTCAGGGTAAAACATAATAATCAATCATCAATGCATCAATTAATCAGATCATAAAGAGCTTTCGCTACGTATTACGATCACAGAATTAATCTACCGATATTAAATCTCATCTCGACTTAACCATTTATAAATTAACCCGCCTATTGAAACTAAGCCTAAATACCAATTCTCATCTCTCGATCAATATTGCTAAACTCATACATAAAAGACCTGCGCAAATCTAGTTGCATAGCATTAAATCAATCAATAGGAAATTAATCTAGCATTGACAATCAACAATAATAAATTACCCCTTCATATTATTTATGGATCCCCATAAACCCTAGAAAGAAAACTACTCGCGCATAATTAAATCTAAACTAATCAAAGCAATTAAACAAGACATGATGAATAAAGAAATAAAATTACTAAAATTAATAAAGAAGAAATCGTTACCAAAGTTAACGGAAATAATGGGTTGAATCAAGAACAAAGTGTAAAGTTTTAGAGAGAGAAAATAAAACTAAGTAGAGAGAGAAAATAAAAAAGAAGAGATAAAAGAGATCCTAAACTTGCTTACAAAAATGTATTTATATTAAGCAAGAAAATCCTAAACTTATAAAACTAAACGACGCCTAAACCCTCTTCAGAGACACACGTCCGGTCGGGCGCCACACCGCCCGATCAAGCCCGCCTTTTTGCATCGGGCGCGAGCTTGGGCGAAGGACTTCTTTTCTTCTTCCGCCCCGCCTGGGCGCGCATTCGGGCGAGACCGTCAAGGCCACTTGGGCACATTCTTGGATTTCGATTGGGCTCCAATTCTTCGGCCCAATCCGGATTTCTTCTTCGTGTCTTGAATACTCGGTCCAAATGCCTTGGTATCTCATATGTCGAGACCTTAATCACCGGTTTGATTACTCTAACCGGCCTTGGGCTACGAGAAGAGGTCGTACTCCTCCAATGCTCTAGTAGCTTCATAAAATCCTGGAAAAATGCTCCAAAAGTGCAAATCCCTACAAAAGTCAACCAAAACTACGAATACACTAGAAAACATAAATTAGTAATAAAAGTGACTCAAAAGAGCCAAAAACACTACCAATTATGACCAAGGAACGGGAGTAAAATACTACATAAAATAGAGATATCAGTTGGCCATCCTTAAGCTAAACATGATTCAAAATTGTAAGGTTGCAACACGGGGGAAAATTTTCAAGTCCTAGGATATCAACTGTCACGAAATGAATTTTCTTTTGCAAATTCTTTTTTTTTTTTTTTTTTTTTTTGACAAAGAGAACAAATAAACTAAAAACAAGAACAAATTAAATGACGACGGCGAGCTAGGCCGGCCAGAAAATGAGCATAATCAATCTCCCTTCTTGAAACCTTTTGAATATAACAGCTGGAAAAGCTTCGAACAATCTGCCAAATCTCACGTAGAACCCAAAGAACATAAATTGAATCCGTTGTATAACGGTCAATCAGAGTCGGGACAGAACTGCAATCTGTAAAAACCCTGACACTTGTGAAACCTTTATCTTTAACATGACGTAAACCCAAAAGGCAAGCAAGAAGTTCAGCATGGAGGGCCGAAGAAGCAAACCCTGCCTAAGCCCCTCCCCCAACAGACGGAGAAGATAAGTCGGAAGATAAGAACCAACCCATACCAGCACCTTGATCCATGGCTGTCCAAGCACTAGGGATGGCAACGGGTCGGATCTGGATCGGGACCGGATGGACCCGGATCTAGATCCGTTTTTGTATGTAGGATCCAGATCCGACCCGGATCCGTCGGGTCTATAAAATGAAGACCCGGATCCGGATCCGTCGGGTCCAACGGGTCCGGGTCCAAAACGGGTCCAATATATTTTGCCTAATTTTTTGCAAAAAATGTAATGTTCGGGTCAAAAAAATTATTTCAAACTTACATTGTTGGTTATTAAGTTGAACCCCAAATTAACCAACTTATACACTCATATTTTGAATTAAAATTAAAAACAAAAAAAAAAAATACGATGTTACATATGAGCTAGTGAAAAAACAACGATGATGTATATAATATGAGCATCCAAAATTCATCTCTTGAAAGGGTTAATTTTTATCATTACTAACATTATCAACATTTTTAATAAAGAAACAAACAATTTTAGTTTTTTTTTAATAGGAAAAATAAAAAAACGGGTCCACGGATCTGGATCCAGGTCTAGGGCCCAAACCCAGATCCAGATCCGTTTTTGCCAGCAGGACCCAGATCCGTCGGGTCCGAAATTTGAAGACCCAGATCCATGAAAAACGGATCTGGATCCACGGATCCGGGTCGGGTCCATATCCATTGCCATCCCTACTAAGCACCATCAAAGGCAAGACTAATATCATACTGGGAAGACGGCTGAAGAAAACCCAGAGCATGATGAGAAGAACAAACAAGACCACCAAAACCTGGAGGACACGAGGCCTGACAAAGATCAGATAATTCTCGGGCCTCCTTACTCCTAGAAGACCAATTAGCAACAATTGCAAAAACCCCAGCAGGAGAAAAAACCTCCGAACGGAATCGAAGATTATTACGAGTTAACCAGACAGCCCACCAAAAAGATATAAGGTCATCCAAACCATTCCAGTTCTTGGCCTTTGCCAACTCGGAAATAGTAGCAGTTAACCAAGTACAAAAGTCTCGATCCATAGGTAACGAACGAATTGCCTCCAGATGATGAGTAGCTCGCACCAAGCAAGTAAAATCACATTGTTGAAAAATATGAGAAACTGTTTTAGAATGGTGATGACAAAACACGCAGGTAGTATCAACGGGAATACCCTTTAAGGCCAAAACTGCCGCCGTGGGAAGACCGTTATGGAGAATTTTCCAGATGAAGATCTTCCACTTTGGTAAAATCGGAAGACCCCAAAATTTCTTCCACCAACCCGGAATGACAGGGGCCAACAAAGTACTAGCTGCACAGGTATGATTTATCAAGTGAGCATACGTAGATTTAGTAGAAAACGTCCTATCCCGAGTGAATTTCCAATACACAAAATCATCCATTTCTTCCCGAGGTCGTTCTAAACCAAGAATAGAATCCGCCACATAAGAAGGAAAAAGCCGACAAATACACGTACTATCCCAAGCATGGGAAATGGGATCAATAAGCTGCGTAACCAAAGAAGGAAGACCCACTAGGGGAGCTGAATCCTTAAAACGAACGGAAACACCCGGAACCCAATTGTCCTCCAGAATCCGGACCCTTTTGCCAGAGCCCACTTTCCACATTATTCCCTGAGAAAGAGTGCGAGCTCCTTCTAACAAACTTCGACAACCCCAAGAAGGACGGGAAGGAGAAGTAGTAGCTTTGTAGCCTATGACATGAGGATACCGAGCACGGTAAATCCTCGAAACTAAAAGATGTGGATTATGAATTAAACGCCACATTTGCTTAGCAAGCAAAGAAGAATTAAAAGAGGGTACATGACGAATTCCCAAACCCCCTAAACCTCGAGGAGATGGATGGAAGCAGAAGAA